CCTCTGTATATTTCCAAGCTCCTATTACTACGCTACAGTAAAAACAAAGTTAATATCTGGGTAATTTATAAGAAGAAAAATAACAGTGGTAAATATCTAAAAAGTAAGAGATTGAATAGAATCACTTCGATGCCAAAGTCTAGGACAAATTGCTAAGGTTAAACAGGTGCCAAGCAAGTTAGTGAATAACCACCATGACCTCTCAGGTCCAGGTAAATCCCTGAAGTGTATAAACAAGGAAAGAGTACCCCATAACAAAATGATGGGTTCAGATTTTAAAAAAATGTTTTTAATGATTTTAGAGAGAGGAAGAGAAAGGAGAGAGAGAGAGAGAGAAAGAAACATGGATCGGTTGCCTCCTGCACACCCACTACTGGGGGTCAAACCTGAAACCTGGGATGTTTGGGAACCCATGACCTTCTGGTGCATGGGACAGTCGTGCAGTGGGTTCAGTTTTGAAAAGCTCTGAAATAAAGTGTCAGTTTCATGGTACTATATGGATACTCTCTCCTAGATTAACCAAATTATTTAACATCTGACAAAATTAAGCCTCTCCTTCACTTATAAACTATTAAAAACAATAGATAAAGATTTAGTCTGTCCAACCAAATCTGATAGCTCTTCTTTAGGTTATAGCTACTGAAATTAGGGCTTATCAAGTAGTTCTTTACCAAGGTTGCTAGTCTTCAGGGCATCAGTTTTGTCAGACACCTCATTTGCTCTGAGCAGTCAAAAGCATCTGCACTCCAAAGACATCTGGATAGGAGGCAAAATGACTAAGTAACTCCCAAATTAATTCATACCTATTTGGGACCCTATCCCATCCACCCATTCCCAATTTGAAATCACCACAAAACATGCTGCAGAGGTAAAATAAACTGGAAAAGAGAAGATACTTCATTATTCCATTTTTGCTTTTATTTTTCTATTTCTTCATTTGTAAGTGTTACCAAAGGTGGGGTGGGGGGTGCACTTCAAATTTACTGATTACAAAGTGCTTACTTGTTGTATGTTACCACAGATAAATAAGTTTTTACTGACTGTTGTGACTAAATACCATTCATTAGTTGGGTGACTTTCTCACCTATGAGTTGTACGATATATTCTTAAAGAATTTTTCCAAATCTAAAATTCTATCATCCCAAGATTGGAGAAGAGGGAAATAGTAGTCAAGAAAACAAATGTTATAGTGCTAGAGTTGAAAAAGATGATACTCTATTCACTTAAATTTTTAAAGTACTTATGAAGAAAGAATACCCAGAGGCAATGAATCCAGTGCTAGCTAGCTAGTAGTACAACTTCTTGATCCAATAAGGCTGCAACAAACTGGTAACATTTCAAGAGTCCATCTGTTAGAACAGGAAACATTAATTTTTTCCCACAGAAATGATGCGATACATAGTAGCTAGGCTCTAAGGCTAATTCACAAGTTTATTTAATCTCCAATGCAAGTGAATTGCTAGACACTTTTGATAAAAATAGAAAATAAATATTGCCACACTAGTAGTTAAGCAAAAAGAACATCAAAATGAAACAAAAATGTTTATCTTGCAGCCTCTTCTTCACAATGCAGTCAACCAAAAGATCCATTGGCCTGATTACACACACAGGAGGGCCTCCTAATGACTAGATTAGAATAACCCACTCTTCAAGTCCATGGACTCCAAGTTAAGGACTGCTGCTTAAATAACATTAGCGGGTAATGGTTCAGAAGTATTCCAGAGCTGGAGAGGATAAGGAGAGGAGGGCTTTTTTTTTTTTTTTTTTTTAAATCCCCTGACCCCAGTGGGACATGAACTTAGTGACGGAAGCATTCTCTTCACATCCTAGCTCCAGGATTTCCTGGACAATGCTCCTGGGAGTTCAGTGGCAGCTCAGTAAACATGGAGCCTAAAAACACTGGAGATATGCTTCCTAGCAGGAGCAGGGACTGTGGAAAGAACAATTTCCTGAGCTGCCATGCCAAGTACCAGACACCTGCTACTGCCAGAAGTAGCCCCAGCTTTGACTGTGAGGAGGCTGCCTGGAGGAATGTCTGCTTCCTGGCTCTGACTGAATCCCCATTTCAACCCCTCTACAGATGAAGGGCTTCCAATATACATGCATGCTCACACGTCTGCAGTCTGTAACTTGTGGGTGCCTATCTTTATCATCTGCTAAGGCTAGAAATAGAAAAACCAAATGAATGTTCGTTCTCTTCTCCTGGGAAGGAATACCTACTGTACTTTGAACTTTAACTACAATGATGGAAATGTCTTTATTTAAGTCCATATTGTGGGCAATTCAGATTTTTAATTCATAAGTACTTCTCCACATCCACTATGAAACAATGACCTGTTATATCTAATTTGAACAGGTTAAAAAGCCAGGTAAAGCGTTTCAGAAAGTATTTGTCACTCTAGTTTTCTACAATCTGCTGTTGTAATTTGCCCTTGGCCTTTTCCCTGATATTAAGCAACTTTAAAACTGAAATCATAGATAGTATAACCAAAAACAAGTAACAAGGAATTTGATATATCATGTAGGACATTACACACACACACACACACACACTAAGTTTTTAGTTATGTCTCTGAATGTATGGATCTTCAGTTTACTCAAATCTACTAAAGAGACCTTTCAATTCTTTAATAAGTATACCCAAATGTTATAATTAATCACAATTATAATTGAGGTTTGGATTCTGCCTGCATTCACATTATTGCTGGAAGGGCAGCATGGGTAATGCACACACAGCTATCAGAGTGGAACTCAAAAGCTGACCATGGTACCCAACTCTTTATTTATATGTGCTGCATTTTCCTCTGATCCAACATTCCTTCCCTAGCCTCTTATTGTTACAATATAGTCACCAATTTTATTTCTTCTGGTATAAATGTTTATGGTTACATGAACTTAAGTAAATTTCATGTGGTAAAATATTGAAAAATTCACATAAAAGGATAATTTAAAAAGTCATGTAATAAGGAAATCTTGCTTCCCTAACTTTAAGCCCAACAACTTACTGCAGAGAGACTTGGCAAAGATCCAGAAAATTCTTTAGCTCTCTCCCTTTCTGAGACAACCCATATCTTTCCCCACTACAAAAGATATATCCAATGTGCAAAATGAAGGAATTTGTTAAAAAAACAAAAACCAAATTCTACTTTCCCATTGCCATGTTCAGCATAAAATACATTTCTACCAGCTTTCAGATGGGCTACTTTCTCAGCTGAGTGGCAGGATACCAAAATGGGAAGGAGAAATCAATGTCATGGAGTATAAATAGCTGTGGCCAAAAAACAATACTGCAGAAGAACCAATAAGGGAAGGGCTCCCCAAATTGCAGCAAGAGTGAGTTAATTCTGTGTCCCTTCATGGAGGGCCTCAGGGAAACCATCACAAGGAAACAAAAGGGTGGAAGTAACCAGGACTCACACAGGATTTCCAATCTTTCCTTAGAAACGAACTTGCAGTGTTTTCTAGGGTTTCTGAAACACATATTTATTAAATCTCAGCTGGTATGGCCATAAGAAGGAATTTTTTTTCTAATGCAAGTTGGGTATAGAGAAAATGCCACTCAATAGGAAGTCAGTCTTTTTTCAGATATACTGAAAAGCACTCACCAATACCAACGCTGATTTTTAAATATTTTGCTTAACTCACTCATTATATCTGAGATAAAATGTGCATCCCATGGCAAATCTAAATGTGAACCACACTTGACACAAAAAGTAAACTTGAATTGTGTTCCTATCCCCATTCATTACACACAACTTTAAGGTCCAGTAATTTCACATAATGGTTAATACGTTTGAGATCGGTGGGTTGATCTGCTTGAAGGTACACACTTCACTTTCTAAATGTTTGCTGAACTTTTCAGAATTGCTTTCAAATGTTGACATGTATTAAGTTTACCAAGTTTCTGTTTCACACACACACAAAGGTACTCTTTGGGCGTCAGCATCCACAAAATGCAGGCAACCATAAAGTTATGTAAGAAAAGCAGGAATTAGTTCAGGCACAAGAATCCAGGAAATCGCATATCCTTCTTGCGGGTTCACGGCAACTAGATAAAAAAACAATGCAAAGTCCACGGGGAAACCAAGGCAGCTAGAGCTGAAAAGATGCGGGCAACGCCACTAGAGGCATCTCCGAGCATCCCTTCGGAAGGAGACTTTCTAGTCCCTGCTGAGCCCCTGCTGACCTGGGTAACGGTGCGCGCCGACACCACCACTGCCGGACAGGAATGGCAGCAAGTGGGAGAGGAGACGAGGGGACGCAGCAATAAATGACCCACTGCCTATGGGTGCCCAAGCTGTCACCACCCTGGGACCCGGCGCTGCCACCTGCTTTCTACCTCCTCGGGGAGCGCTGGCGACGCGTGGGCCCGAGGAGAACGGAGGCAGAGACGAAAAAACGCATCTGTGGTTTCCAAAGCCCGAGCACGAGAAGATGTCCCCAGGGCCCGAACCCCACAGCCGGGCGAGGCTCCCCACGCGGCGCGCGGCAGCAGGGGTGGAAGCCTGAGAACTTGCAGGCGGCTGCGGCGAGGGCCAGGGCACACGAGGGGAGAGGGCGGCGCCGGGTCATCCGGGCCCGGGTGCGGGTACCGAGCGAAGGTGGTCTGGGGGCGGGGCCGCGCGAAGCCAAACAGCCAGGGGTCGGGAAGGGGAATCCCCCCAGGGCGAGGGCCGGCGCGGGCGGACAGGGGCGCCCTAGCCGCTACCTGCTGCTGGATCTTCCCGTCCTCCGTGACGACCCAGTGCGTGGTGGCGAGGGCCCCTCGGGCCGCCATACTCAGCAAGGCGGAAAGGCTGAGGAGCCAGCCTGGGCCGGAGCGCGGTGGCAGCTCGCACCAGCCGCGGACCCTTACTGCCGCCGCCATTTTGCCCCCCCGGCCGGGCCGCTTACACCGGAAGCGGAAGCGGGCCCCCGCCGCCCGCCATCTTGGGGAGGTCGGCGTTGGAAGAGGAGGAGGAGCCGAGGGGGCGCCGCCGGCCGACGACCGGCGTTGTCGAGCTCGGCCTGGGCGACCGGGAAGCGCGGCCTCCGGCGGCTGGCCCAGTCTGGTTTCAGGTCGGGGACCGCTTCTTTGTTTGTTTTCCTGGGTGCGGGCCGCTCTCGGAGCGTGGGAACCAGAGGGAGATAGAAGTAGTGCTTTAGGTGGAGCCTACGCCAGACGAGAAGACTCAAGAGTGTGCGGACACACACACGCTCTCTGAAAGAAAACCTTGGTTTTATCTTATTTTTTCACTTCTGGTTGCGTACGATAGTTGAGAAATAAAAGGTATGCATTCGAAGCACCCAGGGAAAAGATGTATTACCTTTATTCTAAAAGCCTCACAGTGAGTGGAAGCTTCAAAGTCTGGACGGCTGTTAGTGGAGGGCCGCGCTGTCCAGTAGACATACAATGTGAGCAACGAGCCACGTATGTAATTTAAAAGAAAGAGGAGATAACTGACACGTTTAAACCCATTATGTACGAAATACAAGTTCTATATGAAATTCGTACAACTTGGTTTCCAAGACTCAGCATAAAAAAAAAAAAATCTAATATGTATTTTACGATTACAGACCATCTAAATGTGCACTATCCAGATGCAGGGACTGAAGAGCCACCTGCGACTGGTGGCTAGTTCCTGGGCAGCATGGGTCTGGGTCTGCGGTCTAGGTCTGGAGACCAGCAGCATTGGTATCACGTGGGAGCTTATGAGAAAAGCACATTGGTGGCTCTTCTCATCCCTGTTAGGTTCTGTCTTTTCACTGAAGTCCCAAGTGACTGGTTTGTACACTCAGATTTGAGAAGCACATCCGGCTTAGTGAACCAACGGGCAGTCCAAGGGCCTAGCCTGGCCTCTAGCTTCTACTTAGATATGTCGTTTTAGGTATTTCAGGGCTGCCTTCCAGCTTTGTGTGTCATTTTGTATTTCGTTTCATTGTGCTTTTGGGTTTCTCTTTGAGAAAAGGAGAATGAGAATTTGACCTGATGACTTCCCTACACTGGTGTATTTCAGGGGAAAAAATTGCCAAGTGTTTAGAGGTCATTTCATGCCGTGGAAGCAATGCACAGCAGTGGTTTATTGTTCTCCCCCAGAGCAGCTTTTCTTGAGGACTGAAGGAATGAACAGTCATTCATTAAACAGGTATGGCTCACCTGCTTTTGTCTAGTACTCTGCTAGACATTGGATATGGAAACATGACCACTGAGCAGTCTGCACTCTTGTGGGATATTGGTAGGTTAACAATCGAAATGCACATGTATAGAAGAGCAACCAGCCAGGTGAAAAGGCATGGCGCAAAGGTGCAGATTTGGGCAAAATAAGCAGTAAGTCTGAAAAGGTGAAATTGGTGACAGGTTGTAAGGGTTTCTTACATGTCATACCAAGAAGATTAAACATAGATAGTAGGAATGTCCCAACATTTTGAAATAGAAAAAGGGCAAGTGATGGAGTCCCTTTGTGCTCAGCATCTTATTTTAAGGCATAGAGGTCAACCCTCTTACCTCTGTATGAATCTGCTAAGTAATGGCAGTGGTCGTCATCCCACATTTGTTGACTGTTTAGTGTATGCTGGGCGCTGTACATGCACAGTTCCTATTAATTTTTGCTAATTTACCATGAGCAGGCTGGTTAAGTAATTTGGCCAACATCATATACAGGTAATAAGCAGAACTCAAGATTTGGAATTGGATCTACCCGACTCTAGAACTTGAGCCTGGATAAAGGATGGTGAGGAGTTTGAGAGAAGCCCCAACATCTCATGTTTTGTCCATCCGCAGTTTCTTTGACACAAGTTAACCTGTAAAGGGGTAAAATCATAGCTTCTGTAGCTTTAATGTACCACCCACCTCTATTTTCCCTAAATGATAACCCTTGTTCTTTGGGATTCTGTATTAGTTTTCTTTCTTTCTTTCTTTTTTTTTTTTTTTAATTCCTTACCCGAGGACATTTTTGCATTATCTTGAGATAGAGCAGGAGGGACAAAGGGAGGAAGAGAGAGAACATCGATGTGAGAGAGACACATCGAGTGGTCGCCGCCTACACGACCCTACCAGGGGCTGGGGACAAACTGCAACCGAGGTATGTGCACCTTAGCGGTAACTGAACCTGGGCCTCCTGGTGTGCGGGCCGATGCTCTAACCGCTGAACCAAACCGGCCAGGGCTCTGTATTAGTTTTCTATTGTTGTGTAATGAATAACTACAAATATTGGAGCTTAACACACACTTAACTCAGTTTCCATGGGTCGAGCGTCTGACATGGTGGGGCTAGGTTCTCTGCCCAGGATCTCACATGACTGATACCAAGGCTGCTGTCTCATCTGAGGCTTGGAGGCCTCTTCCAGACTCTTTCAAGTTCTTGGCAGAATTCAGTTCTTTGCCATTGTAGGACTGAGGTCCCAATTTTCTTGCTGGCTGCTGACTGTGGCCACTCTAAACTTCAAGGCCACCAACCATTCCTTGCCACCTGGCCCTCAATATGGCATCAGTTCCTTCAAGGCAAGCAGGAAAACCTCCAGTGTTTGAATCTAACTTCCTTCAATCTCTGATCTCTCTGCCCAGATTTAAAGGGTTCATGTAATTAGATAAGGTCCACCTGGATAATCTCTTTTGATTAACCCCAAATCAATTAATTAGTAACCTTAATCACATCTACAAAAATTCATTTTGCCATATAACATGATAAACCACAGGGATTATATTCACATGTTCTCCCCATATTTGAGGGAGATTTATGAGGGCAAGGATCGTTGGGGTCATCCTAGAATTCTGCCTGCACAAGTTCTGACTGCCAAATTCTGCTCCCCTGGTCTTTTACTGAACTGTTTTAAGCTTCACACAGTAAAACTTAGAAGTGACTACTCATCCTGTTCCCTGTCTGAAATCCTTTCCTTGCTCTTCTGTTTCAAATATATTATTTAAGGTACAGCTTAAATCCAAATTGTAAAAATCTTTCAGCTTCTGTTTGCCTCTTCTGATTTCAACATTAGTGTAACACTAATGTTGCACTTAATACCATGTTACTTTGCACATTTTGAACAGCTAAACTCTTGAGTAATTCTTTGTTCAATTAGTCAGGCTATTAACATCTGAAGACAGGAAGCATTCATATACAAATATATTTTTATCTTCCATAAAGCTTCCATACTTAAGTGGTTAGTTTGCTTAGTTTTTTAGTCCCTACCCCCAAAAAGGTAGCTTTCCCATTTTATGTGAATAAAACATTAAAAATCAACCTAAATTAAATTGTTGCTACTTATTTTCTACACCCAGATAGATCACCTGTTAACCTTATTTTATTCTAAGACTTGATTTTTTCCCTTTTTATTCTTCTCTTTTAGATGCTTAGATAAAACCTATAGAAATGTAAGATGGTAGTTGACAAAATTTCTTATCTCTAAATTGTAATTTCTCAGTTGAACAAATGATAGAAAAACCCATAACTTCATTTAACTTGGTCTTTCAACATAAAGTATTTTGACAAATAGATCCTTTTTTTCATTCTCATTATAAATTATAGAATTTTTGAAGCTAGGAATTAGACAATGATAAAATGATTTTTCTGGATTTTTAATTTCCTTCCTTGGGCCATTTTATCTGAAAGTTGCAAAAAAATCTTTATACTATGTATCCTTTCACAAAAACACTTAAGATACAAAATACCTGGAAGTGTTAATACTAGTTTTAATTCTGTTAATTTATCATCTTTTTGCTTTACACTCAAATCAAATTTTAAAACACGGTTTGTTATTTTTCATAGTCTGTGGCTGGGCTCAGCTGATTGGTTTATCGCTTCTTGTTGGCTGGGGTCATCCATAAGGTTGCATTCAGGTGAGACCTCTGATGGGGCTGGAATGTCTCAAAATGGCTCCTCTCACATGTCTGGTGCTTTAGTTGGAGTGGCTAAAATGGCTAGAGTGGCTGGGCCTCTCTCTCAGGGCTCTGAAAATGTGAAAGTAGAAGTTGCCAGTCTCCTTGAAGGCCAGGCCAGAACTGGCAAAGTGTCACTTCTGCATTCTGTTGGTCAAAGTAACAAGGCTAGCCCATATTCAAGGGGAAAAGGAAACAGACTCATCTTGATTAAATGAAGCAGCATGTTCGTGCAGGAATGGAAGGAATTAATGGCAGCCCACTACTGTAGTTAATTCCTCTAGACCGGTGGTTCTCAACCTTCTAATGCCGCAACCCTTTAATACAGTTCCTCATGTTGTGGTGACACCCAACCATAAAATTATTTTTGTTGCTACTTCATAACTGTCATTTTGCTACTGTTATGTCTTAGGCGACCTCTGTGAATGGGTCGTTTGACCCCCAAAGGGGTTGAGAACCGCTGCTCTAGACTCTAGATTTTATGATTAAATCCAAGTTCATTCTATTCAAACCTTTCCAGAGTTTGCGGTTTTTGACCTTATCCATCACTTATAGCATGCTAAATTTTAGTTTGCCCTTATAGGAATACCATTTCCTCATCTTTTAAAAAAATTAAAAAAAATTTTTTTAAAAAAATTTTTGAGAGAAGGGAGAGATAGAAATATTGATGTGAGAAACACTGATTGGCTGCCTCTTGCACACCTCCTACTGGGGATCGAGCCCGCAACCTGGGCACGTGCCTTGACCTGGTGTCGAGCCTAGACCCCTCAATCCATGGGATGATGCTCCATTCACTGAGCCGCACGCTGGCCGGGCCATTTCCCCATCTTTTATTTGCTCCCCTCTGTTCCTTTTCTGCTTAGGTATTTGAGGAATGCAAACTAGAACTGTAGATTGTGGTTACATTAGTTTTAGGGAATGAATGTACAACTTGATTTTTTAGGTTTTTGATAAATTAGACTTGTTTCCATTACACTTGCTACATTAAAGATAACTTGTAAGACTGAACTTGAAGGTAGAGCAGTAGCTTGTCTATCTTTGTATTTTCATAGTCTGACACTGCTTGGCATATGAAAAGCAATCAATGTTTAATGAATATCCAAGAATCTGAAGTCATCATAATCACAACACATTAAGACACAAAACAAAATTACAAAAGGAAATTTATTTCAAAAGCATAAGGAAACATTTACTTTTGAACAATGTGATAAACAGGTGTCTCGCAAAAGAAAAAAATCATGACGAAGTTTTTCATTCAAATTTCTGAAGCAAAAATAACCTAAGTTGTGCATTATTGCCTTAGGAGAGGGAAGGAGAACAATGAGTTGGTAAAAGAAGAAACAGTCAACACCAGACTTGAAGTAGAGTCAACTCTGCTTAGAGTTTACAAATATTCTTAAAAGAAAAAGAAGAAAAGTTACACTTTAATGTTCAAATTTTATATAACTGTATAATACAGTTCCTATACTTGAAATGGCTTTAGGCCACTTGCTGATCTGCCTCTGAGTTGACTATCTGGTCACAGTTTTCAGATAGCAATTCCATGTTCCTATGTCTGTTCAGATTCCAAGGGAGCTGGAGTTCAGCTCACTGTCTTTTGGAATGTTTAGATTATTGCCACCACTCCATAGTCAAGCCGACCAACTTCTTTTGCTCACTTGTTTAATTCTAGTCTTCAAAAAATATTTTCCTATAAACATGTGCAGTAATTCTAACAAAGGGGTTTTGCTTTTTCCTCAATGTATAAAGGTTAACAGTAATGAAGACACCTGCATTGGAATCACTAATTATTCCTCAAAAAAATATGTCAAACTACTAGAAAATGTCATTCAGACATTGGATTTGAATAGCGAACTTGAGAGGGAAGATTAACTGTGGAACAAAACAAAAATATATGCAACATTCAAATACAGAGCAAAGGGCCTATGTTACTAAAAATGCCCATGACATTAAACACTCCACAAACCCCCCCATCTGTTGTTTTAACCTAAAGATTCTATTGGCTAACTTATACAATAATTTTGATTAATAACCTGAGAAGTTAAAATCTTCAAAGTGGCAAAAGCAAACAGAGAGCATCCCTTCTTATTGGTACAGCATGTTATCAAGTCACTTTTCCTGGATTGCCCTGGTTAATAAATCCCCAAATTCTAAATTATTCTATGTCATCCTGTAGAAACCTGTTTGTACATCAGATTCAATATTCTGGCTGTATTTCTCCAAAAGGGATTTCCAAACTCTTCTTTGAAAATGCAGCCTTTGCTTATTTTTAGTT